GAAAGACGTCAGTCCATGAACTCTGTATTAAAAATGAGAGCCAGCCCTTGGAAATGGTTACTGACAAGAAGAGCGTGACATGTTCCTTTTCTCCCGCAGTTTCATTCATCATTTCTTAATCATTTTGCACACCGTTAAAGCAACGCTGGAAGGACCTACACCAGCTCACAGGCGGTCAGGATTCATGCAATTAGACAAAAGCTTGATGTGCAGCAACGTCATGAAAAAATTTCAGTGAAAAACACAAGCTTACAACAACAACAACGCTCACTTACATGTTGGTAATGTTAATGTCGAGGGACAGAAGAAACGCAACAAACTGTTGTCACATGTTGTCACACGTGGAGTCAAACTGAGGTCTTTTAGTTGAAAGTCGTGTGTGTGTGTGTGTCTGTTGGCCCCATGGCGTCCTTTGTTAATAACCAACTACTTTGAAGCACAAACTGGGGCACCGACCTCTCAAAAGAGCTGACAGAGTGCAGTTGGAGCCAAAACATGAGCGAATGGCGGCCGTGCCTAATCATTTTACGGCCAGCAAACTTGAATCAAGGTTGATGTAATATTCCAGTGAATGACCACATCGCCTAGAGGGAACGAACTCGCTGTCAAATCAGCTGTGAAGGTTCTTGGAGGACCGGGATTTTACTGCCGAGACGCCTCGTTTGGAAGATCAAGCCCCAAATACCAGATCTGATCCGCATGGGTTCCCCTTCACAACCGCGATTCCCGGCCCAACGGTAATGAGCATTCATTGTACCGAGTACACTTCAGGTCATTCAGTTTGACCATTTTGACCCGAAAGAACATTTCAGTTCAAACTTAAACGATGCCTATAGGTTAACTGCGCATTAGATACCTAAATGTGGATAGGAAGTAGAAGAAGTGCTCATATCTATTTTTACAGGAGTGAAACCAATCTGTGAGTAATGTGTGAATGAGTCAAAAGCAGTGGAAAAAGTGAGTGGACCGTAATCCAGAGTGAGCTGTATCCCCGATACAAAAGTCAACCTGATCATCAAAGCGTCAGTAAAAACGTCCTCACACGTTTTCACTTTAGAAGAAAACCCGAAGGAACAATTTTGAAGGAAGCAAGAGAGAAGGAGGAAACAGACACGCATGAAAGCACGACAGCACAAGCGGAGTGAGGAGAAAACGTCCCGGCACGACCGGTCCACGATGATTATTTCTGTGCAACGAGCTCCCCAGCTCACGTGCAGCTTCCCTCCCACGTGTCCTCGCTGACCGCGCACAGCGCTGAACTAGAAAAAGAGCTAAAAGGACACGACGCCAGCCAATCAGCAGCTCCCGCATCCAGGGGAGAACCCCGGCTCAGCGTGATGGAGCTCTGATCCCTGATCTGCCAGGCGGGACGCGGCGACAACAAAAAGCCACGTGGGGAGAGCGAGAATGACCTTAAAGGTTTTGCGGGCGGATGGAGTCAGCTTTTCTTTCTGATGCCGCTGTGGTTCAATGCCTCCACCAGGTTCAAAGGCTCCTTTTTTAAAATGCGGTTGCGTGAGGGAGCTTTTCCATAGTGTAGGCGGTCGACACAACTCCTGCTTGGAGAAACTACCCAAGTAGTGCCGTGGATAGCTAAAGAAATCCGTACAAATGTAAGCGTACGTTATATTTAGAATATTTCCACTTTAATATTGCCGTCAGACAATCTGCGCTCACTTCAAAGCCACGGGACTCCAAAGCAGTCATTGTACTGATGCTGCCTTCGTTTAGAGACTGGAATACACGAGTTAGCAGTAAACACACCGCAGTGCACTAAGGAGGGATGTTTTTCTCACTCCATCACATTAGATCATTCCATTCCATTAATTCACGCAAGGTATTTCCCCAACCGGCACATTTCGAGTCGCCCACTGGCCCGTGGGACACAAATAAACAGCCCCGATCTGTGCGCAGCCCTCACAGCATGTCTGAGCCAAAGCTATCTGGGTTGCAGCTCAGAGGCCCGTCTGGGTTTAAACGCGGTAATACTCGGGATTAACCGGAGCTGGTGTTTTTTTTTTTACTGGGCTCCGATCGTGTGTCCCCCCGCTAGCTGGCGAGAGCCAGATGGGTTTTCTGGGTAATCCTTGCGTGGGACGAGGACTTAGATCGCGGGTGGCGGTGTGGGAGGACACAAGGCTATTTACTGCCAGAGTAAGAGAGAAGACAATGTGGTAGAACCGTGGATGGAAAGAAAAATAAAAGTTACGAAATGACACAGCAAATCTTTTTTCAGCCAGGGGCCACTTTTTGTAATTGCTCTCAATGTTCCGCATCCTTCTTTTGTGTTGCCGACATCCTTTTCTTTTTTGTCATTGTGGTGAAGATTGTGGTGCGCCTCACGTCATGCGTCACCTCATGAGAACCGTGGATTGACGGAAGGCCTGAAATGAGAGAAATCCAAAGTGATTTCATCTCGACCCTTTGAGAGTCCATGTTGCAATCGTCCATGAAGTCATGTTGTCATCCCCTCCCTGCAACGGTGCAGGTTTAGCCATTGAAATTAGATCAGGGATGAATATGAGCCCCATCATTTCCTCATGGCTCCCAAGAGCTATGAATCATCCCGTGTGTTAAATATAGTAATACAACCTGTGTTTTCGTGCAGCCCGAAGGCGATTCCATACAACCGCTGTGATATCGTCTTTTTCACAACTAAGAATTACAGCTTTGGTGTTTCTTCGCTTGCACCCTCCAATAGGGTGAAAGACTTCACTCTGTGTGGTGAAAGTCCAGCTTCAGTTTCCCACTCAGTGCCTCGCCATCCTTTCAATAAAACACGCTGGGCTCTAAACGAAGGCCAAGTGGCAGCTTTACGACCCTTCAGGAATAAAAGCTAATGCAGCCGCCCACAAACATTGTCGCTCTTGAAACCACAAAGGACCTTCACTTCACACCGGTACTAACAGCCCCCCCCCCCAACAAGGTTTCCTAGAAGGATACAGAGGGAGGGAGATTTGAGACATTTTTCCCTTCGGTGCAAAAGATAGGATGTCAAAAACAGCAAGGAAAATGAATTATTGTCAGAGGGATGGAGGGAGATAAAGAAAAACAGATATCAGGATTCTCGTATTGATCCGAGCTTCTTCATGTAATCTCTCTGCCCGCGGAGTAACGTCACCTCGATGGGACATTCAGCCACGGAAAAGCAATTTGACCCCCGGTGCTGCCTCCTCGGGTCACCCTTAAGTGACTGCTGACACCAGGTTGCCACGGCGACGGAGAAATTATAGCTAGGCCTCGTTTGGACGTGTTTGAAAGGGATTTGTGCCCAGGGTGCTAATGTTTTTCATCACGAGGGCATGAAGCCATAAAGAGGCTGCAGGAGAGTTAATGCTCTTTTGTTGTTTATCCGGACGTTTTTTTTTTTTTCTTTCTTCTTTTTGTTTTTGAGATGAGGAAGAAACTCTACACCCCTCAGTTGATCTTTGAAATGTGTGTTTTTGCGTAACGGGACTCTGTGAGTCCAGTGACCACTGGATGTAATGACAAGACGTTTTGCACACACATTCATGGTTCCCAGAGGATGAATCCAAATGACTTTGCCACCACGAGGAACGCATCGGGGGTTTTGAGTGAAATGTCTTGAGGCTTGTTGACGTCCGGTACATTTTAGTACACACACTCATGATCATTTCAGCAGGAAATGCAAACAACGGGTGAGCATTTCTTTGTTTATGATTAAATATAGAGCGGCCGGGACGACGCCAATGTTTGTAGGTCAACCCGGAAGTTAACATCACACAGCGAAAAGACATTACAATTATTATTTTGGATTTTTAATTAGCATGTTTTGCAATTCTGCATGTATAAAGCAACTCCAAGGTCACGTAACCCCCCCGTCTCCGCCCTTTAGCTGAAGGAGGACAAGTGATTTTTAGGTAAAAGCTTCTAGATTTTGCCGCCTATGTTAGCATCGTCATAGTGAGCGTGTTAGCATGCTGACATGCTAGCATTAGCTCAAAGCAAAGCTGTGCCTCGTGTAGAAATCCATCAGAAGTGGGAGTGAATTGGATTGCAGCATCGGTACCCTGTGAGGTTTAACCCTCATCGTCATGTCTGTAACCTTTTCCTGCTGCTTCCCCCTTGCGGCCGCTCCGCCGGCCTCCTGAGGGGAAACGGGAAGAAGCCTCTGGATTGTTCCGTGTCCTTGGGTTAATTGGCTGACTAAGCCTGTCTCTGAATTATGTCACATGACTCCAGGGATACACCTAGCTACGTGGCGTCTAATCCCTGACACATAATCCCCAAGGATTCCCTCTGCTGCGTATTTCCTGTCAGCCGCAATTGCACCTGAAGCAGAAGAGGCAGGAGACGGACACGGAGTGTGACAGGGACACGCGAAAACATGCAGCTCCACTTTCCTTCTCTGCAGCCAGTCAGTCAGTCAAAGTGTGCAATACTCTGTCTCCTGATCCGCTTGCTCTTACACTTTTTAACTGATGGCCCCTGCATGCACCCCAGTGGGTTTCTGCTGTTTAAAAAGCCCCAACAATCGTGATGCTAATTTATTCAGGGACCAGCTGCTGTGTCAAGATGATTCTGCAAAAGACATCCTTGAAAGTTTTAATGAGCTCAGCGACGCTGATGATGGAGGACGGTGAGGTCGCACGAGTTAATATGCTGTGCGTGTGCGTGTCTTTTCATATCGTATGCGCATGCATTTACGTCTTGACATCCGGCATCAAACTTAAACTCGGCTGGAGGCTTCTGAGAAGATAACAAGTCATTATATCATCATGTAGAGCAGGACGACTACGCAGCATGAGCACACGCACATAATAACACACCTATGCGTGTGTGTGTTATTCCGGTCCGCAGTGTGTGACTGCAGATTGAACCTTGTTTGTTGCACAATATCACAAGTAGCAACTTAGTTCAACATGCAATCTTTTGATACTTTGTTAATATTCAAATGTTGATGAGAGCATTCTTTAAGCACAGAATCTGTAATAATTTGGCTCACTATTTGACTCAAATCAAAACCAGCAACTATCAAGTAAAGCAATGGATGTTCTGTGTGTAGATTTATTAAGTCTTTAGTGTTACAAAAATGTACAATTTGTATAAACATTGTTATTATAGAAACTGAAACTTAACCTCTGTGGCCACATAAGGAATGCACTTGGGATTACAGTTCCATGGCAAGGACATTTAAAATGTGGTGGTGCTCCATCACCACCGAGCTCTCTTTCATTTCACATCATTTACAAAAGTCCCTCCGTCCAACACAAGCACAACAAATATTTCAGGGAAGCATCTGTGGAACGAAAACGGCAGTTCAGTGGGACAGAACCTGTGCAAGCTTGTGAAGGATTAAAAGGACGTTTTATATATTATAGGGACTGGAAACACAAACTCAATATTAGTCCTACTGATAACAGAAAAGCTTGCTATAATTCCCTAAAACAGGTGTAAAAAAGCACTTAGTGAAGACTAATTGCTCAAGATCCCTTTTAAATCATAAAATGTTGGGCAGCTGCAGGACGAAGAAATATGCCAATAACTCTTAACTCTCAATTATTGTGAGCATATCCATTTCTCCTGAACACGCAGCCGCGTGTAATTGTTGTTGTGTCGGCACAAATCACTCTCCCGTTAAAACGAAGGGACCCATTAGGCTCCAAAGCGTCTCGGCCGCGGATCAAATCTTCACGGGCAGGAGCCAGGAGGAGTTCATCTCTTTCTGTTCTTGTTGTGCTTCACCATCTTCTTCCTCTTAAGTATCATCTCGTAGAGTTTCTCCAGGCCCGGCTGCAGCCCGCGGCCGTCCACGGCGCTGCAGCCCTGCACGTGGTGCAGCGTGTAGGTGCTCAGTTCGTGGACGGAGAGCAGCTTCTCCACCTCGCCCGCGGAGGAGGCTGAGTCCTGGTCCTGTTTGTTGGCCAGGACGAGCACCGGAACCCCCTGGTTCTCCGAGGTGCGCGTGATCTTGTGGAGCTCCACTTTGGCCTCCTCCATCCGCTCCAGCTCGGTGGAGTCCACCACGAACACCATCCCGTCCGTCCGCCGGGTGTAGGACTTCCACAGCGGGCGCAGCTTCTCCTGGCCGCCCACGTCCCACACCTGGAAGTTGATGGTTCTGGAGGCCCCGACGGCCACCTTGATCTTCTCCGTGTTGAAGCCCTTGGTGGGGATGGTCTTCACAAACTCCTTGAGCTTGAGCCGGTAGAGCAGGGAGGTTTTGCCGGCCGAGTCGAGCCCGATGACCACCACGTGCAGGGACTGGAAGTTTGGCAGAAAGGACGTGTTGGGAGCAATATCAGTCAGCTGGTTCCCCATGATGGCAGCCGGCAATTCACACCTACTTGGGGGAGGTGACGGATTCCTGCTTTAATCCTCTTTTCTTTTTTTTTTTAGTCGAGTGGCATTTGGTCCTCGTTCTCAGAGGCCGAAGGGATCAGACGGTGCTGTAGATCAAAAGCAAACAGAGTTGATGCTTAACGAGAAGACAATGGGGGCTACATGTGTGTGTGTGTGTGTGTGTGTGTGTGTGTTTGCAAAGCCAGCTGCTAATTAACAATCTCACCTTAAGAATTTAAATTAATGATGATTATCAGTAGAGGCACATCTGACAAGTGTTTGATTTAATTTTCATCAACGGGGTGCATTAATCGCTTTAAGCCTATTTGTTGCGTACTCGGGGAACTTGTACACATCATGTGAAACGATAAATTCACATAACAGAGCCGAACCACTGCTGATGGGGTGACCGGGGTCAAGTCCTAAAAAGCCTTTTCCTCATGGAACGTACATGTAAAGGCGGTGGATGGATACTATCGTGTATCCATCTGGTGCAGCAGCACTAATCCGGTTGTTGTTGACATCCTGATACAGCTGCCTGTGGCCGGAATACCGGGAGATATCTGTTATTGGCTCTGCTGTAAGAGTATTCCTCAAATATTATTATTAATGCAGACGCAATGTCGTGTGTTTGTTACTTGGTTGTTTATGAAAATGTTTCTATTGGGAATAAAGCCCCATTTTTAGTTGTTCTTCCCCTCTTGCACGGAACAATCCGGTTTGTGTCGTATGTTATTAGCGAGACGTTTTAACACGGATAAATATAACTTCAAGATATCGCGCGTGATCCTGAAGTTAACTTTAAGGGATAACCGGTCACCATTAAAACAACTAATTGAAAACAGCAGGTCACACGTATGAAATAATAAAATCACCGAGACGTTAAACATGTCCTCTTGCGTGCATCTCTATAAAAATAAAATATATATACATATACATACATACGTTGTTTTTCAAATGCGCAGCGGAAACATTATCCACAGGCAATAAACGCGTCCATGGTCCACAGATTATGTTCGTCCCGCCGGTCACATCCGCTCCTCTTCTCATGCAGCAGCACTGAGCAGCTCCGGAGAGGCGCGAGCTCACAGCGGCACCCACAGCCCTGGTGACGTCACGGTCACCTGGACGGCGTCTGCGCGCCCCCTTCCGGCGCTGCGGGGAAGTGCAACTGCAGTTTGTCGAAAGTCCCTCAATTGAAATTATTAACATCAAATATGAACTCAAATGATGGCCTATTACACTATGTGTATATATTACTACTGAACTATATTTGTCGATGAATTAATGTGTACGTCATGTTGAGGGGGATGTTATCTAATGACAATAATCACACATCATAATTACGTTTCCTACCAACTAAGTATCAGAAAGTACAGCAAGTACAGTCTTTGTTCCATTACTATATATTATATTATATAGTATATTATATATATTGTAATGTTACGTATATATATATATATATATATATATATATATATATATATATATATATATATATATATATATAAATACGTATATCTAACTAATACTTATCACAAATGTAAAATAACTCTAAATGCCCTTTTTTATTAGAAAGCTGTCTCAGTAAAATTCAAGTTTCAAGACATTTATTGTCATATGTATAGTTTAAACGGTTACTCTGTACAAGGACATTTTTATTTTGCTATGCCCTCCTTCCACAAAACTACAGATGTCAAAAATAGAGTATATATATAATACATGTATACATTTTTTTTCTTTTTACACAGTTGCCTCTGAAGCTGGTAAAATTAGTCTATAGATATATTTCTTTTTGGATGTATATTTTTTCTGCATGTAATTATTGCTCTTCTATGATTCTTTAAGATAGAAATGCAATAGTGTTTCCTGCTAGGTTGACAATCCTGTAATTTGCCCCATTTAATACCAGTGTTTAGTTGAGCTGAGTACACCGTAGTCTGTCTACATTGTCAGTCTGGGAAAGCAGCAGCTCCACCCTGTGTTCACTCTCATGAGGTGGAGCCAAACAAGGCTTCTTCTGGGCTGTTTTCTATGCTCAGTGTTTTACTGGAAAAGCACTTTGTGATCTGTGCCGACGTGCCACTAAAAATGGACTATCGTGAGATGATCCCGTGTGATGTGGGAGGTGTGTTGAGTGAGCGCACACTGTTGGGACTTTCCCCACACGGTAGCAAAAGGGCTGGAGACGCGCATCCCCCTCAGCGGCGAGTGACTCAGTACCACTCACTGCACAACGAGGATCGATTTAGTCCACAGTGTAGAGCACTGAGTGTGCGGCATGAGACATGAGAGGCATACCAGCGAACCGACGCAGCACATTTCACACACACACATAAGCTCAAGTGCCAGTTTAATCAAGTAATACGGATTTACAGGCAGATCTCAAGCAAATAACAGCAACATCATTCATTTTGAACCTACAAGTGGATTTGAAACATCAATATATTTTAATCATAGCATTGTGATGGTTTTAAGGTATGCTAAAACAACATACATAAGAGCATTTTCTAATTGGTATCTTTAGTACATTTAGCACATTTGGCTGCTAGTAAGTGTTCTTCCACTCAAATTAAATGAAAGCCTTTTTCAATGTTTCTGTAGGTTTTTTGTCTCTTTTAAAGCTGGTCAATGTAGAATTCAGAGTACATCCATATCCACACGGCTCAGCTAGCAGCTAACGGGGATAACAGTGCTAACTTTATGTCTGCTATCTCATGCAGTAATTCTAGTGATGCACGTGGCTGTGAAATGCAAACACAGACGGAAATTGAAACAAAACTCAGAAGATCGGCAGCAGTGTGACGCCATAATCATTTTCTGGCTCCTGTATATAGAACTTTCAATTAAATGCACGAATCACTGGATTAGATGCATTTTCAAGGTGGTTATCATTCACAAAGTCACACACAGACGATTAAATATATTCAGGGAATGTTCGGGCTGAATATTCATTAATTCACACTCCGACTTCAGTGTGTTTCGTCTGGATTTCATCATCTCACAGGATGAGGGATTGTTGAATTGGTGCCACAGTCAATGTACTCAAAGGTGTCCAGAGACAGCTGCTCGGTGTGAGAGAGATAGGAAATGTTCATCGTCATTCTGGGGAGGACAAAGACGACAAGACATTTATTAGGGACGGCATGTCTTCATAATGTTTTAAAGCAGCACTCATCAATAGAAACAATGACTTAAGTAATGTGGCTCTGCAGAGTGCTTTATTTTAAAAGCTATACAAGATGGAAGCAGAAATATCTCCTCTTCATGCAAACAAAACAGAAGTAATAACTAGAAAGCCAAATTTATTTTGTGGTTAAAAGCCACTTATTCTGGAGTGAAGTCTAAACATAGAAACAGACCTCTTGCGTGCCTATTGCTTCACCTCAAAGAAACATTTCACATATCGAGATCTGACCCTCTTCTTCGGAGAGCTCGTGTTTTGCCTTCGCGGTTTGTCACACGTGCTTTGAAGAAGCCGCCTCCGCCGATAGTCATTTCAAGGAGACACTTACTGCAGCTCCAGAAATAAGGTGTGAATCTTGATGGTGCTCGACTTGCAGTAGGCGCTGAAACAGACAAACGCAGCAGATGAATTCGGACGCACAAACGATAATGATGGACATGGTATTGCATCCTCGCGTCATTTCTGACTTACTTTAGGCCTTTATCCGTAACAGGCAGGTCAATTTTAAAGGTGTACTGCAAACAAAGAAATGGGTTTTAGGGCAAACGCACCAGCAGCGTATTTTTTCATTATTGTTTTTTGCGTAACACAAATCCTTCCACGTGAAACTCACCGACTTCACCGAGCGGGCTTGCATGGTGGTCATGTTGGTGATCTTGGATGTGCCGACCACGGCCCTGGAGATCAGACCCTGAACGCTGAACTCCACGATCTGAACCGGGACGAAGTTCTCGTTGGTGACGTTGATGAGATTCTGGGAGGGGGGGGGGAAACGCACACCCGGTCAGGTGAACACACCAACGCACCTTCCCGTCGTTAAGAATGAACTTTGCCCTTCAGGTGACTGCGAGCTGTCATGTGAACGCGACACAGTGTTGTGACAAGCACACGAAACATGGGATGCTTAAGGAAGATTTTCGGTTTTTGTTATTTTACTCTTCATTTAGTTTTTTTAAATAATAAGAAAATGTATTTTCCATGAAGGAATTGTTAGCTTAGCGTAGACAAAGGGGGAAATAGCTAGCACGCTAAATAATATTTCTATTATATATATATATATATATAAAAAAATGTAAAAGATTTAAAAAATACATATATATATAGTTTTTTTATTAATATAGAAATATATATATAACAATGGAGAAAGATGTGGAGACATAAAAAGCAATAATCCAGTTTTCAGGGTTTATAGTTCCTTAGTAATAGATTTACTGTTTTTGTTTTTCCTAACTCACTATTTATTATTATTATAGCTCATGTTCATGCAATAGGAAGCCTCTGTTTGGGGGCTTTTAAGGGCACAATACTGCAGCAGGTGCCGGTCCCCTCCTTACTGTGCCATAGACACGAAAACACATGCCCATACTTCCTCTGCAAAGCGGTCACAAGACATCGGAGACGGGGCAAAGCTTTCCACGCCAGCCGTCTGACTCACGGTGACCTCCATGTCGACGGTATCCGGGGTGAAGTACACCATGACGGACAGCACGGACACGGGCGCCAGGGTGACGCTCCGGGGGAAGAGGAAGAAGAGGATCAGGCAGCACAGGAAGAGACACACCACCATGGAGATGCACACGTACAGCTTCCTGAGGCACAAACATGGGCCATAATGAAAAACGTATTCCGTCTTGTTAGAACACTTTGGCTTTAATATTACATTGTAACATCTTTTATACATGTTTTTGTTCTCTAAAGAAGTGGTTCCAAAACAGGGGTTGCAAGGATATTTTGATTTATTTTTATATATATATACACAGTATATAACCAGTCAGGCTTCAAGGCAGGCCATTCCACAGAGACTGCTCTGCTTGCTGTCTCAGAGCTGCACACTGCTAGAGCAGCCTCGCTCTCCTCATCCTTCTGGTCCTCTCTGCTGCATTTGTCAAGGTCCTTATTTCCTCCCTTCATGAACTTGGTGTCTCAGGCTCTGCTCTCTCCCTTCTCTCGTCCTACCTCGACGGCCGCAACTACCGGGTCACCTGGCTGGGATCTGTGTCGGAACCTTGTCCTCTTACTACTGAAGTTCGCCCACTCGGCGTGACACTCGACAGCCAACTTTCCCTGACTCCCAACATCACTGCGACAACACGATGCTGTAGATACACGCTCTACAACATCAGGAGAATACGTCCTCTTCTCACTCAGAAGGCAGCGCAGGTACTGATTCAGGCTCTTGTCAGCTCCCGCCTGGACTACTGCAACTCGCTCCTGGCAGGTCAGCAACACTCTGCATCTGCAAAACTGCTCGTCCCTCCCTCCCTTTGCTGTCCTTGCTCCGAAATGGTGGAACGAGCTCTCTGAAGACATCAGGACCGCACGGAGAGCCTTCACATCTAACTAACGACACACGTCTTCAGACTGTCCCTCGACTAGACTAACAAATTGTAGCACTTAAATTGTACTTGTAACGTCACTCATCTATAGCAAATTGTAAATTGGCTTATTTGAGGAAATTGCACTTTCTTGTTCTTCCGAGTTTGTATCCTTATGGTTGAATGCACTTATTGTAACTCGCTTTGGATGAAAGCGTCTGCTAAATGACATGTAATGTAATAAGGCGCATGTTCCTCACTTACGTGCGTCTGGGTTTCAGCCTCGCATCGTTGCACGGTATTACAGCCACCAGCTGGTCGTGGACTGTCGATACAGAAAAAGAGAAGAATGATCTCCTTCCGGAGTTTTGTTTTTTTACAATTCAGAGAGATAAACTATATGTACAGATATAAACCTGTCAGGGTGCGTGGAAGGCCGGGAAGGTAGGACTCAGACGCAGAGTTTTTTGGGAACCAAAAGGGACTTTAATAGTCAAAAAGGGTTTTCCAAAGCAAAAGGCCAAGGGGCAAAAACGGAGACAGGAACCAGGAATGAGGACGAGGACAGGGACTTCCAACATTGAACAATGACACGACAAGTGTCAACAGACACACATGGCTTAAATACACTAGGGAGGTGCAGGTGATTGGACACAGGTGGAAACAATCATGACATGACAGACAATCACAGGGGATGACAGGACAAGGCAGGAAGGGACGTTACCGAGGGAGAGGCAAGAAACTACAAAATAAAACAGGACATGAACCCAAACCGTGACCAAAACCCCGTATTTAGCTTTTTCTTACCTCATTTAAGTTCTTAAGCCTGTTACATATCAAACTTGCATTCAACTGACGTTCAAACATATTGTGTATGCGTCATATTGTCAGTTTTTCATGTTGCATTTTCTACACGATAGCTTAAACAAGATTTTGATCAGTTGCCTTTTGGTAAGGCGTTAAAGCTGCTTAAAAATGCAATCTTAAGATAATTTTTTTAATGCAACAAACCCCCCAACAAACCTCTGGGAATTCTCCCGATGCCTCGACACGTTGGGCAGTTGTCTGCCGATTGTCTGTTAATGGCGCCGTACGGCGTATTCAGCGTCCTCGCGGTCTCCATCCCGTAGGTCAGATCTGGTCCCTCTGTGCTTCAGCTGCGTTACGCTGGTGAAACCATGATACTTTCATCCAAAGGAAAAGTCCCGTCTGCAGAACCAAAACGGGACAGGAAATGTAAAATGCATCAAACAGCCTAGTTAGAGTATAGACCTTGTGCAGCACTGCAGAGATGTCCTTAAATATTGCACGTTGACGTATGACGAAGAATTCTTGAAGTTGAAAAACAATTAAAACACAGTAGAGCATTTGTTTTTTGATCAAACGACCTCGAGTAGACAGGACTGCTCTACAACAACCTTTAAATGGCACATAAAAGTCTTGTGCTTCATGTTGAGGTGTGAGCAAAGTCCACACAGTGTGAGGAGACACCTCCAGTTACTTTGTTTTGTGGCTCTGTTGCATCTGAACGTGTGATGACTAACCGGAAGAAGTGCACAAGTCTTTACATTAAGTAAAAGTAGAAATGTCATTGTTTAAAGATACTCCGTTACCCTTGAAAGTCCTGATTTTAAAATGTAAATTCAGTAAAAGTATCATTAAAAAGAATGAGTCATTTTAAAGTTAAAGTTATTATATAATGTTACACTTCTTCACTTCTGCCTGCGAGTATTACAGTAGTTTACTTATGTGGATACGACTGTGTGGCACCGCAATTCATGTTCCAAATAGATGAAGTAGAGTGAAAAGGACAATATTTACCTCTGAAATGTATTGAAGTAGAAGCATATAGTAGGGAAACTTAATAAAGTACATTGCATTTGTACTAAGGTTATGCACTTGACTAAAAGTGCTCAGTCATAGATTTCAACACTTCATTTCACAAGATTAGAAGATGCATTTAAGGATTTTCTCAAAATGCTGTTCCCTTACATTTAGATTCTCTGAATAACTTAGAAAGAGTTTAGGCTACTAACACAATTATAACTATATTCTCTTAAAAACATACAGGATATTCTCCTTTAACACTGTTGTCCGGCCTCTTCTGGGTGAAATGAGTATTTCCTTCCAATAGAAGCACTGAATCATTCTGCTTTCACAACAACGTGAGCTCATGAAACCTGAGTAGAACAAATAAATGAAGGAAAAGAGCGTTTACGGCAGCCACCGTGAACATTGGAGTTATTGTTTATTTAATCATGGCAGCTAAACACATTTCTTTAAATATGATGTATTATTATTGAGTTATCAAACTAGCAGTTCAGACCAGCTACAGTAACAAAGTGCCGCATTAACACCGATGCAGGAATAAAGTTTAACCACATAAGAATAACAGCACAACGGGTCTTTCTTTCTGCTTTATAAGGACTTTAACCGGAGCGACATCTGCTGCAGGTCTTTATTGAAGTATCTGAACCGCGGATTGTAACCATCGATCAGCTTTTAGATCTCAAACCTTCCCCCTTTCTTCTCCAAGCAGCGTGGACACAGACGACTTGTTTACATCCGGCGACACAAACAACAACAACAACAACAACAACAGCAGCGACACGCTCGCAGCAGAATTCACTCACCGAAAAGCGAACCATCCGCACCGGAAGCTTCTTTCCGATCCGACGGTACAAACGCGGAATTAGCGCCGATGCGAACTCGAGGGTCCGCCAGCAGACGCGGTGGGAGGCGCACTTCCTGTTTCTCTGGGCTGAAGAGCTGCAACTTTCCTTCTGCAGCACCGACGCGACTAGATGTGACGGAGTTGGATATCAGCACGCAGATGATCGGACACAGCAATCAATGAAAGGATGCTTAAATGTCCGAATGGTATTCGTGCACTTAATCAGGCATTTTATTTGTACTGTAATTATGGAGAACTGAAGAGGAGTCAAGCATACGGGAATAAAGCACGTGAAATGTGTTCCACATTGAATAAATGCTCCAATATAGCCTTTATAAATTATAGTTTGATCAAGGTATTCCTATTTTTACTCTGGGAATATTTTCAATTAAGCACCTTTAGAATAGAGTATTCTTAGATTATAATACTTACACTTTTACTTACGTGCTTCTTCTTAGAAGTGTCCAGATAAGCAATAAAGCCTCAGCGTTTGCCGGGGTTGTTAAAAATAAAAAAATGTAACCAAACGTCGTGAAAAATGCAGCACAGCCAGCAGCGTAAGGTGTGCAACCTGTGTACTTTAGACACCATTCAGTCAACCTGGTACAGGCTGTACCGCATATAAAGGCGCGTGTGTGAAGTGTGACATTTGTCGTTAACAGAACAGAAAAGAGGCGAGACAGAGCTGTGCAAATAGTTTATTGGCGGATTGACAATAGAAGGGAATTTAATGTATAGACTCTGCCAGAGGAATAATTGGACAAGCATAGTAATATATATTCAGAATTATTCTCTAGAGCATGATTCTTTAAAAAGGATGAACAAGCAACAGAGGAAAACATGGTTATAAATAATCCTCAACCGCACAAACACACCAGTAATAAAAAAAAAAAGAAAAAAAGAACTAGACACTAACTGGAATCTGCACACTCACACCACAAATGTCAAATCACCACGTGTATATTTCTGTAAAGTAATGATCATAAAGGCAGTTTAATGAAATCAAAAGACTTGGTTTCACTGTGAGGGTGAAGAATGTGTAGTTTAGTTTGTGACGTCTCGGATTGGGTTAGTGTGTAAATGATTCTCAGTTGAATGAAGACAATGAAGATGCAGGCGGGAGGAGAGGGCAAGGGGGGGGGGGCGTTGAGCGATGCGACGCCAAGCGGACATCTTCTACCACGACTGTGCTAAGACCACGAGAACACGACTCACCTCTACAGCCTCTACAGCCTCTACCTGTCATGCAGGTGTCTCCTAGAAAGCAGTAGAAAACATCCCGAAAGTCCCGAAAGCGGTGATCCGCTCGGACGGTTTTTGAATACATTCCACATGTCAACGTCTAAAATAACAGTACTCTGATACAGAAAAAGATTGCATTGTTAAGGGTAGATTTCACTACGATAAATCAAAAGAAACGCCTTTTAAATATTAGTTTGTTCTCGCTGCCGACCCCCCTCGACACCCGAAGCGGCTCCAGCAGCTCAACGAGGAGAGCTGGCTGCTCGGAACCTTTTTTTTTTTTTTTCATGACATTCAACAATATTGATATTTCATTGCTCTATTTGTGAGGAGAATCTAGCAAAGCCCTGTCAGAAGAATCGGTTATTATTATTTATTTTTTTAATATCAGCGCCGAGGGGAAGCTGCAACGACAGCCACACGAACACGGAGATGAAGAGCTGAGACGCACACACTTGTAGCTCCGGCTGCCACACAAAGGGCTCCGAGGCCCCCCAGGTTCAACCACTATTCACACTAATTTACATGTATGTGTGTGTGTGTGTGTGTGTGTGTGTGTGCGCGCTGTGTGGGTGTGGTTCATTTTTGTCAAAATGTGAAAGCTAATTAAAAAAAAAAAAAAGGCAGAAGAAGCCATTCATTCGTTCTTTTCTGTAACTTTTGTTAATTTCCTTTTGTACTCTTGGTCCAAACAGAGCAGCCCCCCCCCCCCCC